TATTACAAGTTTATGGCAAATTACAAAGACATCAACTGCATCTTCAACCATTAGCAAAGCTTACAGATCAAATAATTTGGCAAAGCTGCGTTCACATGCAATTACATCAAAGATTCATTTTTTTATGCAGTAACCCACAGCACATGACCTAACTTGATCACATCACATCACTAGAGTGAAAAAAAAAATCAATGAAACAACATATGAAATGCTAAAATGGATTAACCAAGAAAGTAAAAGGAAGATTATCCAAGACCAAATAAGTTGGTTAAAAATAAAAACACCAAAACGTGTTGGCTTCTGAAGAACTTAATCATAAAAGGGGGTAAAGGATAAAAGTTTTTCCATTGTATGCAGAACTAATTTAGGAATTATTCTATTCATCAATGTGGAACATGCCACATAATTTCTTTCAAATGTATTTAGAACAGGGAGAGGTGACAAAAGCATGAAAACGCAAACTACTAGATGTCAAAGGTGAACGCATCTAAGAAACAGAACAATAAAAGAATATTATCATATTGAATAGAGATTGGATTTCTTGATAAGTCAGAACAATGGCAAGAATTACACTAGCTTCCTTAAGTGGAAGACTGAAAAGAGAGATAAAAAATCAAGTATGAAATGAGCAGTGGAGTCTAACCCAATTTGCACTAGGTAATCTCTTAAAACCTTAATCATGGGGACAAAGTCCAGGATTCAAACCCTAGCAAGGTCTCAGTGTATCATTCATCAAAAACAGAAAAGAAAAATCAACCACAATGTGGAATAATAGAAAATGACTCACTGACAAGATCTGGTAACTCTTTGCAGCATGAAGATTTTTGTCCAAAGTATGAAATTTATCCTAATTGAAAAGGCTAAACAGAAGTAATTGCATTGCACTCCTAAAGTCACATTATTGCTTTAAAGAATATGCACATATATGCTGTCATATTCAACGCTGCTTGCACAAAACAAATGTTTGATGATTCAAAATAATCATGTTCGTATAATAGATAACATGAACAAGTGGTTTCAGAATCAAACCTTGTACACTGAATGCAACGAGTCATCACAGTCTTCACCAAAGGGCCAAGATTCTTATCGACAACTGATCGCTTCACTTCAGTGAACCTGCCACGATCAGATCCAAATGCCATAGACTGATCCTGAAGATCACACTCTCCACCTTGATCACAAATTGGACAATCTAATGGGTGATTCATCAGCAAAAATTCCATAACCCCTTCTCGTGCTTTCTTTGCCACAGGTGTGTCTGTCTTAATCTTCATTCCTACAATATAAACCCTCTGATAAATGAAACATCATTAAGAAATAAAACAGACACTAAAGAGAATGCATATTCTTAAACTATGCAATCCTGAAACTTCAACCACCAAATTAAGAAACCAAAAGATCCTAAAAAAAAAGAAAGATTATGAAACAAAAGGGAAAAACTGAGGATACATGCAAATTCATACAAAGAGCTTGCATCATAAAATAGCCATTTCTTATAATTATATAAGAAAATCAAAATGCATTTGCATATACAATGCATGCCATAAATCAAATCTGAGATGAATCATACATGTGTGTGGGTGATGAAGCTTTTATAGTAGCAAATAAATCAGAAACATTCACATTGACAGCAAAAACAAACCAAAAAACTAGAAACATTAAATCAATCATAATAAAATAAAAACAAAATTTTCTGCTGAGCACATGGCAAGAAAACCAACTAGTTTCTCAGTCACAAAACCAGAAAACAAGGAAAAAATCAAAAGAGCAAAAGAGATCACCTGCAAACTTGAAAAGGTGAACTAAACAAAAATGAGACAAAATAATACACATCTAAATGAACCTCTAGGGGAAAAAAAAAAGCAACGAGAAAAACAATAGCTTTAAGAACAACATCCAACTAAAAACGAATTACCCATCATGACTTGTTTGGGAGAAAGCAAAAATCATAAATAATAGAATGTTCAATATATCAAACAATTAAAGCACACCATAATCTAGACCCCCAAATGTACCACATTGTTACATTACATTTCATACTCAAGGCAACAAAGACTCAAATCTATTATAATAAATGAGCAAAAAGATGCCAAATTAAATCTTATCCTTTTTAATGAAATGATCCATACGATTCCAATTTCCAAAAAAATAACACCATATATAAAAAATTAAATCCCATTTTTGATTGGTAAATGGATATCCAAAACTAAATTGAAAACCCAGTTAAACCACATGAACACCAATTACCACTTAAGCCCATCAAGATCACACGATCACCATCAAAAGTTAGCAGTCATTTCTACCAATAGAGTAATTAGAGAACTAAGAACCCAAATCACAAAAGCCAAAAGCCTAAACCATCGATTATCAAAAATCTTCTGTTCTTCAATCAATAATCATACAAATTGCACTCATTTTTACCAAATTAAACACCAAATAAACCAGTTAAAAAATCAAACCCCAAAGAAATCATAAAAACCCAAAATACAAGTTACAAAATGAACAATTAAAGCAAAGCCCCAAATAAACAACAAAAATTTCCCATCTTTACTCAACATCCACGCAAATTACACTCATTTCCACCAAATTCACCATCCAGCTCAAAAACCCAAAAAAGAAAAGTCCAACACTCCAAATTCTAATTAAAATCAGCCAAATCACAGACATAAATTATCATTCATTTCTACCTACAAAACAAATTAAAAAACTAGTCACTTCAACAAAAAAAAATCACAAAAGGGGAAAATCCTAACCATAAATTACCAAGAATTTCCAATCTTTACTCGCAATTAAAACAAATTCCACTCATAATTAAAAAAAAACTAATCATTTCGAGGAAAAAAAACACAAAAGGGGAAAATCCTAACAATGAATTACCAAAAAATTCCGATCTTTACTCACGATTAAAACAAATTCCACTCAATTCCACCAAATTGACAATTCAAATTAAAAAGCCAGATAAAAAAAGTCAAAAAACCTACCAGGAAGAGCAGGCATAGCGCAAGAAGCAACAGGCTTAGGACTCTTCTCCACTTCCACGAGACACATACGACAGTTCCCAGCAATCGACAACCGACTATGATAACAAAACCTCGGAATATCAACACCAGCAACTTCACAAGCTTGTAACACAGTCATCCCTTTCGGGATTTTCACTGGGTACCCATCAACAAACACTTCGATTGCATCTTCCGGGTTCGGAAAGTGAACTCGGGCACCACCCAATGGTGTTCGCGGCGGAAGACCAGGTGTTGGGTCGGGTTGTGGGGCGGTTGCGGGTTCGGGTGATTGAAGCTCCGGTTTGGTCACGATGGAGCGGAGAAGAAGGGTTCGGGCTGCAGTTTGAGGTCTTATGAGCCTTGAAGCTAATAAGCCTAACCCCATTTTGTGTTACTTTTTGGTGCCAAGGTTTGAGATCTCAAGTGTCACTGAGAAAGAAATGGTGGGGAGGAAGAAGGCGTGTGTTAAGTGTCAGCGATGGTTTATGAAGGAGGATTGTTTACGTGGAGGATGATTTGACCAACCCGGATCTGTTTGGGGTGGATCAATGAAATCTGATCATACATGGTTTTTCATTAATGGGGTTCGAGGGAAAAGCCTGTTTTTGCTTTTGAAAGAGAGTACGAGGGAATTTAAAAAAATGTTTTTGTTTTGAAAAATTATTAAATTATTATTTTTAATATTTTTTTATGGTTTTGATATTAAAAATAAAAAAAGTTAATATATTTTTAATTAAAAATAGTTATTAAAAATAAAAAAAAAAGTTAAAATATTTTTAATTAAAAATATTTAAAAAAATATTATCTTACGTACATCATAATACTAAATACTTATATTAACCAATTTAGATGAACTAATCAAAATTTAAATTATTTTTTTAAGAAATATTTTTTAAAAAAATAAACAAAATTGTTTTAAATAATTAGTATTATTTTATCTTAAAACAAATTTATTTTAAATAATTAGTATTATTTTATCTTACTTGTCTAGGCTTTGAATTAGATAATGGATTAAAATGAGAACCGAGTTTAATTACTTTGATGAAAAGAAAGATGATTATTTAAAAAGTATGGAATTACAGGTATTGAATTTACTAGATGATTTGCATGAGTTAAGTTGAAAAGGAAAATATTAGACTTTGTTCTCACAGTGTTTAATTTTTAAAAAATATATTAATTTAATTATGTAAATCAACTTAAATGGATGATACATACACATTATTAAAGTTTATTATTTAGCGTGCAATCAAGTATAAAGACAATAAATCAATAATTTGAGTTTAACTGATAATCACATTTAAAAATATTGATCTTGAAAGCAAGGTAGCTAATCTGAATTTAATATTTACAAAGCATAGAAATATTGAGTACAGAATAAACCCCCCCACCCACTTATCAGAGAGTTTTTACCTTGACTTTGGATTTTCTAAACAGGAAATTAGTCTCAAAATTCATTTTTCAAAGAGCACCAAAAATACAATCAGTCACCCACAGAGTTGATGTTTTCTAAACGGGAAAGTAGGCTCAAAATTCATTTTTCATAGAGCACCAAAAATACAATCAATCACCTACAGAGTTGATGTATTCTCCCAAATCCTGCAATCCCAACAAGAAAGAGTGTGTTCCAAGAGGAAGGAAGTTGTAATTTGACTCTTGTCATGATCAAAATTCAGAAGGATAACCTACTTGATTACCTTCGCGGAACTGGCAAACATTGACTTGAAGGACAACCCATTCGTAAGGATCGAATTCGATGACAAGAGTTCCCTGTATGATAAGAGGATACAAGTCAAATAATGCAGCATCCAAGCCAAAGTTAAAATAAACACTAGTGATTTCGATAATGGATTGTGATTGAGAAAACGTTTTTTTAGCTTTGATCCTACCACTTTTAGGTAGTGTAATTCATAAAATCAACCTAAACTAGGATCATCAATCAATCCTGCTTCAAGGGCTTTGCCATATAAGCTCTTGTATGAATAATTGCAAGGTAAGCCTCTGTTATGGCAAAACTAGACGATCAGAAACTGCATCCTGCACAATGTAGGCCCGGAGCCGGGTTGTGCGCCAGTTGCTTTGTGTCCAGATGGGATCCATCATCTCCATGGGATCGGACGAATCTGATGGAATCACATTCCGAGTTCCAGATTCATGGTTCAGACGTGTTGAATATGCAGGTTTGTACCTGTAATGGAAACCGCATTGCAAGTCCTTTCCCTGTCGTGTGAGCAGACAGAAAAAATAGCAGATCAGTTAAGGCATGCTGCTATCCTATCTATGAAGGCAGTAAAGCATATTGATGTAACACAGCATATCACGCAACAATGGCAGGGGAAAATTCGAATCTGATAGCACCTATGCTAAATTTTATGCAAGGTACGGTTTACTTTTCCATAACATTCATGTTAACACATTCAGCTTTCACTCTTATACGCGGCAGCAGAATAAACAATCTATCAGTCCTAATTTACCGATCCTTTCTGCAGTTAGATTCTTTGCTTCATACGTAGATATGGTAGTAGAGCTAGCCGTAGAAGGAAATTTCAAAGTACGGAGTCCGTTGGAGCAAGGCAATAGCCTGTGTGCGGTAGAGAAAAGATTAAGCACTCAAAGCAACCTCAGTGCCACCTTTAACTTGGTCTGCCCTTGATTGCCATTCCAAACTAGCGGCTTCTAGCCAGTAAGTTACCTGGTCGTGGAAATAGTCCCTTCCCATCCGCCTCTACCTTCATGCACTCACCACTCACCACTCACCACCATTGTTGTTGCAATCTTTTGAACAATCAGAGCTTGCATTCTTCATTGAGATTGAAGTTCTATCAGCAAGAAAATTCCGTATGAACCTGGAAACATCATTAACATATATATCCAAGATATGGATTTTAAAATAAAAATTGAAATTCATTATGTTATGCTTGTTTTTCACGTAGAGCCAATGTGGAACATATTAATTATACAGACATGACAGATTTTTCATGTACTGATTTTTGCTTTTGGAATTATATAATATATTTGTCTAAAATCCTAGTGCACTTACTGTTTCTTTGAATAATGTTAAATATACACGTACATATTCACATAAAACTTTGAGCTTGTGTAAAATAAAATATTTATGGACCATTCAGAGAAGATTTCTTATAGATCCTAATTCCCTTTACGACTAACAATGTCGGCAAGGTGATAATAATGTTATTCTGTTACAAGCTGCTTATTAATGTTCAACATGCATGAAAGAAAGATCAAAATTCAACAAGTCCGTGCAGCAGAAATTGTGAAGCAACAAGCACGGGCTCATTTCACTTTAAAACGAGAAAGGGTTAAGATAGACAATCCATGAATTGATGAGCTGTAAATTCTGCCAAATTACGGGTTTCCCTGTACAGTGATAGGGCAAAGAAATGTCAAAGGTAGGTACGGTTCTCTTTGCCTAGCATATTATATTTGTTTTTGTAACATCATCAGCATGTATTTTCTTTATTGAGCTTGAATGGCCACCCCTGATAGCTCTATTTAATTATACGCATGTCCCTGTCCTCGATCACCAGCCATTGTTGTCAACATGGAAGTCTCAGATAATGCTGCAAATTCCATTAATGAAGATGAAGAGTCTAACTATGATAGGGGTAAGGAAGTGAAGGCATTTGAAGAAACAAAAGCTTGCGTTAAGGAACTAGTAGACTCTGGTGTGAGCAATATTCCCAGGATTTTTGTCACCCATTAGAGAAAATGCAGAAGTCGTCTTCAGATACTTGTAATATCAGCATTCAGGTTCCAAAAATAGTTTTTGAAGGCTTCAAAAATTCTCTGCGAACGGAGGTTCTCATGAATCAATGGATTCATGACCCCCCTCTGTACGGAGCTATTATTGTAAATATTGGGGACTTCATGCAGGTAAAGCTTTTTTTTTTATAATTGATTTAGATTTTCTTTTATGAAAAATTGATATGCCAACAGTTTTATTAATTTGAGTAGACCAATGAGTAGAGAGGCAACCTATGAGCTTCTGACAAGCTGGCCGAAATAAGGTCCAGTCTAAATAAGGTACCCTGGAGGCCAAGTCTACAGTCTGTATTTTGTGCAGAGTGAAGTGAATTTCCTTCAGACTTGAAGGAACATAGCTGCGTGAGTGAATCATCACATGCAAGTGATGATTCAAGACTTTTAACATAAAAGTTGTGGCCAACTTCATGTCCAAAGTAGGAGACAGCGACCCAACTCTACCCGTTAAGTGGGTGTTTCTTTCTCATAAGGTGATTTTTAAATTAATTTTTATTTTTTTTATATTTATTTATCGATAAAAAAGTTAATCAATAAAAAAAATACTTTTTGTTAATAAAAAGCATTTTTCTATCAAAAAAACAATTTGACTTAATTTTTAAAAAAGTATATTTTTTTTATTTTGGATGAAAAATACTTTTTGAAAATTATAAAAAATTTAGAAAAGTCATATTATTCGCTAATTATATCAAATTTAATCTTTAAACTTTTAATTACTATATATATTTTATTTTGAATATTTTTTTTT